TCTATCGAAGCGATATCCCAATTTGTCGGTCAACGACGTGACGTCTCCGTTCCCTCCTTCAGGGAACGAGGGTTACCATACGTAACCGAGACGTTTCTTTACAAGTTCCTTAAAGTTTCCCAATTTGTCTGAGGATTCTGATAAAGCACATATACCAGCAGAATTTAGACATTAAACTTATTTTAGGCTTTTTTAGTGGAGGTTAAACCAAGGACCTTATTCGGCCCCCCTTTTTTTTAAATCTATTTAAACTTTAGATTTAAGTGCTTCTTATTTTAATTTTACATTTTGTTGTCAGAGGCAATAATGATATTTATATAATATTTTGATTCCGATTTGCTTGATTTTTGTTATCTCTTGGCCATTTGACTTATAGCAGTGTCCGTGTTTCCCATACATTGAGAATCACGTTGAATAAACTGAGCACTGCACGTTTCAAAATTAAAATGCAGCGCTGGTGTTTTTATATGAATGTAACTTTGAAAAGAAAAGAACTGTTTTGAGAAGGTGCTTAAGTTTTGAGCCATGTATTATTACTCTGAATTAGGCTACTACTACTATTACTATCTTGTACCCTGCAATAATCATTTACTCAAACTCACTTTTATGAGATGAAGGGGAAAAAAAAAAAAGAAAATCGGCCAAACATATCGGCCAAAAAAATCGGCATCATATATTGGCCATCGGCTGCCCTGATTTCTAAATATCGGCATCGGCCAGTGAAAAACCCACATCCGTCGACCTCTAGTACTCAATGAGCCTTGGCCGCCCATGACCCTGTCGCCGGTTCACCACTGTTCTTTCCTTAGACTACTTTTGATAGATACTGACCATTGCAGTCATCTAGCCATCACAATTTGGCCCTTGTCAAACTCACTTAAATCTCACTTAAAAAAATGTTCATTTGCTGCCTAATATATCCCACAAACTAAGAGGTGCCGGGATGAAGAGATAATCAGTGTTATTCACTTCACCTGTCAGTGGTCATAATGTTATGCCTGATCGGTGTATGTTTGTGGTCATCTGGGATATATCCCTAGCTGTGGTTTGGTAGGGGGAATTCTGAGCCACTTATGACCAGGCGGTGATTTAGACAGGGATCATTTGGGGTACATTACCTGGCAGTGGTCTGGGTGGGGGCAATTTAGGGTTGCTGCTAGGTGTGTGCACACTGCAGATCTTGATAAACCCAGCCATTAGCATGATGAGAGCAATGCCCATTAGAAGAACCGCCCACCAATGCTCCTGAAACACAAATATTAAAATGAGATGAGCACTGCAAGTGATAAATAATATTGGTGAGTGAAATATCACTTCTCATGTTTTTTTTATAGTGATTAAAGCCACAAAACAAATGCAGAGAAAAAGTATTTAGGGATTATATAAATGAGACACTTGCCACTATCCACTCTGCAATGCTTGTGTAAAGCTCAGGGTTGAAAATGGCCTTCTTAAGCCTTGCCAGAGGGCCATCAGCATCCACCAGCCTACACTTCATAAAGACATCGCAGTAACCTTTGAAGTCATTACAAGGAGAGCCAGGCTGTAACGTGGTGACCTTTTTGTTAAAGTACTGAACCCATCTCTCTGAGCTAGTGCTGCTGCAAGTGTTGGGCTGACCTACGAAGACAAAAAGAAAGAATGGGATTAGTAAGATTTCAAAGAATACTGTTCAGAATTGTTTATATATTATATAATATATAGTTTTGTGCAACTACTTTAGGGGAAACTTTCAAAAATGTTTTATGACAATTAAAAAAGGCTACATGGTAAGTGATGGAGATTTGTTGGGGTCTGGACTGCATTTTTGAGAAAACTGTCAGTAACAGCAGGTGTTACTCACCCTTTGCCATACAGCACACATGACACAGCTCTGTGTCATCTTTCCCCTCCTCAGTGGCACAAGTGCAAACATCTAGACCATACTTCTGACAGATAGAGCCAGAGCAAACCTATAAGTGAAAGAAATTATATTCTCAGACAAAATGTCCTCAAACAAAGACAACTGTTACACACACACATGCACATATACAGGGAGAAATATTGGAAGTTTTCATGTGTATTCATTTGGGCCAACATGAAAATATTATTTCATGTCAATGTGAAAACAAATTGGTCAAATTGTATTAGTTAGGGCTGCATGATAAATCGCATTCGATATTTAACGCGCATCTTGTCAGAAAGCCGGTTATTATCGCATGCGATTTATCGTGCAGCCCTAATTAGAGTTAATAAACCCAAAAATGTGTTTATACATTGACATTAAATTCTTGACATAAAGTATTTTTATAGCATTGCCAATTCCAAGGGAGAGAAAACATTCTATAGGCAGGGCACAAAATGAGCACACAGGTCATGATGCAGCACCTACCCCATTAAGGCAGACTTGGCTATTTGTGTGGCAGGATGTAAAGTTTTCTTTAGGTGTTGAGGTGGGGCACTGGGCAGAGTTTCCACTGCACATGCCCTTAAGAGCACACTCAGACTCCTCCCTGCATTTCACATCGCTGTACTTAAAGGTGCACTCTGGTGTGCAGCATGGACCCTGACTAGGACTGTAAGAGAAAAGTACAAGAAAAAAATGAATGCTTTGTTGCACTTATTGAAAAAGGTGTTAACTTAATAACAAATTACTGCTAACAATACAGTATAGGTAATGCAAACATAACCTCTGATGTTATACAAAACAAGTCCAGAGGTTGTAGTAAAGGTGGGAAAAAAAAGATATTTAAAATAAACTACATTGTATATGACACCAAAACAATCTGTATGAGTGTCTGTCAAAGTAGACTGTTAGATGGCTGTATAATTGGAATGGCTATGAAAGGTTATAAGATTCTAATGAACAGATGTTATAATGTTAAAGCCAGTGTTATTTTAGTAACATTTACATACTTTTATAGTATGTATTACAGGGATGTAATGATTCACTCAACTCGCGATGTGATATGATTTGCGATACTGATTTCACAATACAATTTTTTTAACAAAATGAAATTTAAGACAAATTATAAATGAAAAGGTGTCCTTTTATTATTGCTTAGACAAAATGCTGCACATTTGTGACCCCGTCTGTGAAACCCCGGCTGAAGTCGCATAATCTAGCTAATTCTGAGATAAAGACCGTCAAAGCTGTCATAGCCATAAAAATTATGAAAATATGTAATTTGTGTTTAGTGTTGTAAATGATAGATTATATCAAGGGATTCCAGATACAGTTCTCACATTTTCATTTATAACATGATAAATACTGAAATTAATGATTTTTTTGACACTACATGCTATTATTTTGTGCAAAATAATACCATAGTTTTGCTTCCTAAACATTGATTTTAATCATCTCTGGGTTTACTTTAGGTGCAGAAACACCTGCTGAATCTCATATCATTCGGTTCAGAAACGTATTTTCTATCATTAGAAACTGCAAACAGACCATAATATCCACAAGAGCGAAAATCAGGTCAGTGACAGGAAAAGCAAGAAAACTGCGACTTTAGCCGGGTTCCGATTTCTGTGAGGATTTTTTCTTGGCATCACAGAAATTTCAAGAACAGTTTATTTGTTGTGTTACTCAATATTCTGCTTATTTTAAGGACATTTTATGCCTGATACGTGTCGAAATAATTCGGTCTTTGGATGCTGATCATGATGCTTCGGGTTGATGAATTATCTGACATGAAGCGAGTCTGCGTTGATGAGAAAAAATTTTTTTATAGTCTAGATCATGGGTCACCAAACTTGATCCTGGAGGGCCGGTGTCCTACAGAGTTTAGCTCCAACTTGCCTCAACACACCTGCCTGGAAGTTTCAAGTATACCTAGTATGAGCTTGATTAACTGGTTCAGGTGTGTTTAATTAGGGTTGGAGCTAAACTCTGCAGGACACCGGCCCTCCAGGACCGTGTCTGGTGACCCCTGGTCTAGATGTTTAAAAAATATATTTAAATGGGCCTATAATACATATTATTACTGTTTTATTTATTTAACATGCATGAATGAGAACATAAAGTGCAGGACGTGCTTGATGTTAAAATCTCAATGTTACTCGCTCTGACTGACACATACCTGCAGCGCGCACAGAAAGTCGTGTCTGTCAGACAGTGTGAGATCCCGGATCCCGAATGAACCGTCAGATACATACAGAATTACAGTAATTCAAAATATCTGTCTTGGCATGTATTCACGCAAATATAGTTATTTCTTAATTGAACGTTTGGGGAACAGTTGGGGAAAAACATTCCGTGCATTACAAACAAGCTGCCATCTGTATCATTAATATTAATAAAAAAGGGAATCACTCTCCTTTAGTGACTGAACAATTTTTGTAGCTCTAACAATAATCAGTTCATTTGTAATAAATACATACAATGAAGACTATGCAGTGATTATTTTTACATTTGATTATTCAATTTCTGTTTTTCTTTCATTTTTTTGTGTAGTGCCAGATTTACTGGCTCCTCCAAATGTTGCACAAAGCCCAAAGACATGAATTAGATTATCAACTTAAATTGTATATATTAATTTGTATATTAATTACATTTTCTACTGATAGTAATTTTACTAATAAGTTATACAAATCATTGAATTTACTTAGTAATTGTTGCTACACTCAAACTCTTGTGGTTCCTCCCATTCCTATGTCCAAAAAGCATAAATGGTTTTATGCTTTTTGGACATGCGCATCATAAGTAGACCTGTTTTACAAAACTTTAAGAATTTTCCCATAAATGTGTCATATATCACTGAAAATGGGAGAATCTCAGCTTAAATGTGGTATATGGCACATAGTCAGGATAATTATGTTTAAAATGTGTTAAGGTTCAAATCTGTTGCTGTTTTATAAGCTTTTCTTTACATTGGAATTTCTCAAAAACATGACTTTCTGAGTCCAAAATTAAGCAAATCTTTGGTCTAACTCGGTCAATATTAAAGATATCAAGGTTATATTTTCACAGAATGTTCTTTACATTATGTAGGATGATTTTATGTAGAAAACAGTGAATTACAAAAAAATTACTTTAGCTGGGTTTTCACAGAGTGGGTGACATTTCTTTGTGAAATTGAAATTCTATTTCTGGTTCTGTGATTAGTAGTAAATTCTGTGATTAGTAGTAAATCTCCATCACATGCTTTCAGATGGAGCGGCATTTACTACACAGAGCCGTAGTTCACTGACAAGCTACGCAAAATCATGTTCATAATCGCAGACGATTTAATCGTGCAATTATGAAATCAAAGAAATTGTTCTGCGATTATGAAAGCTGTTTGTGTAGCTTGTCAGTGAACTATGGCTCTGTGTAGTAAATGCTGCTCAATCTGAAAGCACGTGAAAATACCACATTTAATAACATGTTTTTACTCCAAACTCACTTCATAACGTCAGTCGAGTGTTTGAAATAAATCCTTTTGTGAGATGATGTGGCTTCTTACACAGAATAAGGCACGCAACATATTTCATAGTATTCTAAGCAGTGATAAAGGCTATGTCGATTAGCATTGCATTATTATATACTTTATTATAATAAAAATTATAATAAGACAAACTCAGATAAACCATATATTGTCGTAGTCGTGTTTATTAGTCACGTTGAATTAATGAAAGCAGTTAAATCTTCTGTTTATTCAGCAACCGCTATAGGGATTTACTGGGTTTCTTCTGCGAGGCGTATTTGGAGTTTCAGCGCGAGAGCGCCCTCTGGCCTTCGGATGGAGATTTACTGCTTATCACAGAACCGTGCTTCACTGAAAGATACGCATGACAATCGCAGCTTCTGCCTAATCGCGATTTATCGCCTTTGCGATTTAATTTCGATTAATCGTGCAGCCCGAATCTGTACTACATAAACCATCTGCATGAAATCAAAATCAGCAGTCAAGCTGATTGAATGAGAATACAAATGAACTCTCTGACAAAGCAGCGCTGTGCTTATGAACACTGCTTTAATATGCATTATACAGAGACGAGATGAAAAGAAAAGTCAGTCCCCCTCAGAGATACATTCATATAAACTCCTACCCCCAACTGTATTGTGATTCATTGAACATCTCAACCGATTTGAATCTTCACATACTTGTATCAATTTTCAACCGGCTCGCGGTGCATCGCTACATCCCTAATGTATTAATATTTAGAATTAGCTTTTTTTTTCAGTTTTTATTTTAATTTTAAGTTTTAGTCATTTTGTGCATTGGTAATTTTTATAAATATTTTTATTTAGCTTTCATTTTTATTTCACGTTTAGTTCGAGTTATTTTAATAGTTCAGCTTAAACTTATTTATTTCAGTTAGTTACCAAGGCAACATTTCTACTTTTCATCTAATATTTATATTTTATTTTACATAATTTTTTCCAATTACAGATAATTTTAAGTTTATTTAGTGTATTTATTTTTAGTTTATTAACAATAACAACACTGGTTAAACAGACTGTTAAAGTTCTTTTTGCGTACCTGCATAGAGTGTCTGGCTTCAGTTTACACTTCAGTCCCTCTGGCGCACTGGCATCATAGCAGCATTTGTCCTTGCACTGATCGCTATAGCCACAGTCACACTGTTCATTAGCCTCAACCATACCATTACCACAGATGGGCTGTCCAGATTCTGGAAAAGAACAAAACAGTGAGAGAGAGAGAAAGGGAGACTGAAAAAAAAAAGAAGTCTGTTGCCTGATCAGGGCTGGTGGAATCAGTTTTTTGAGACTTTGATGAAACATTTCTACAGAACGGCACAATGAGCTCATTACAATGACAATTCTCCTGGAGCAATCTGAGGTTAACTGCCTCAGTCGAGGCCACCACTGTGATAGCTCACGGTTCGTTCCTGGTTACCAGCCCGAGAGCCTTAAACACTACTCCACACAAACATGTGGCATACAAAAAACTTGTAAAAGAAAATTGAGCACAATGTACTGTATTAATATGAAAGAATGTTCTGCACTTATTTTTTACAGGTGTTTTACCTGTATTTTGAATTTTGCACTTAATTGCATTGTGTTTTAGGGTTAACAGATATGTCCGTAAAAATACTGGATAATATCCTGGCAGAAAATAACCAGTACATTGTTTTTAGGTTAAAATCTCACCAACAAAGCAGAGGTATCTTTTCTTATCCAGCACTTGGCTGATGTTGCGAATGCTGCAGATGGAGAACTTGTTGTTGTTGAACTTGTCTCCTGATGTGGCTCTGGCATACATGATGTAGTTGCCTTTTTCTTTCTGGTCCTGAGTCTTAGACTCTCCTGGAGTGCAATCACTTCCTGAGTCATGCTGGAAGACAGAGAAAGAAGAGCGGTGTAATCAGTAAAAAGCGTACAGACACACTTGAAATATTCACTATTCCAGCAGCTATTGCCCTGCAGCATTTGCCTGAAGTTAAGAAGGGCTGGAAACCTGGTCAGTACCAGAATGAACAAGAAAAACTAAGGTTGCTTTTGGAGGTGTTACTAAGGCCAGAAGGGGGTGCTCTCCCTGCAATCTGTACAGGTAATGCACATTTTGCACCATTACAATGATGGGGACTGGACAAAAAAAAAAAAAAAGATGTTCAAATAAGGTCCTGGTTCTCTGTGTCATTAAAAATCTCAGAATGCTTCTTGAAATGAGTAGGAGTGTCATCCTGCTCAATTCTCTCTGCTCAGGCAATTTTGGCATTTTAATATTCCTCATGTACACAGATTGGTGTTCTATTCCTGCTGAAAACCCCCTTAGATCAGAATAAAGCTGGTTTGTTGGTCCTAAACTGGTTTAAGGAGCCTGGCCAAGCTCTCCTAGCTGACCAGCTGAAAAGCCAACAGGCCAGTCTGACCATACTGAGAGAGCAGATATCCCAATGAATCTCTGTAAAAACCTTGTGAGTGTGAGAAAAGTGCTTTATAAACTAAATTAACTAATTATCATTATTTTAAAAATATTCTCTTTGCAACTGAACATTATGTATTTGGCAGAAACAAGATGTTAATTGGCCTGCAGCTACAATATAAACTAGTCTGAAAATATCCACCACTATTTTTCAGTGGGCCATGGGCCAATTCTTGGCAACGGTTTTTAAACTGAAAGGATTTACAGTGGACTGAGAAAACTTGACGTCACGTTACTATAAACGACTGGCTAGATGAATCTGACAATTTAAAGGTCTCAAAGGCAGTACTGTAATGCATGCTTTATTCTTAAAGCATTAGAGAGTAAAATTAATTTGTTCATAAAGGATTCAGCTGAGGTGTATAGTCTACTGCTAATCTGTCAAGGATGCTTCACATGAAGTGAGAAGAACTCACCGGAGAGCCGAAGTTATGTCCGACCTCATGAGCGAAGGTGATGTGGGAGACTTTAGAGGGAACATGTGAAGCATAGTTTTGCACTGTGATGATGCCAGTGTTCAGAGACTTCCTCTTCCCATCGGAGTACTGTTTATTCTTTTCACAGATTCCACCAGAGCTGCCTGAAACCAGAGAAGCATAAATGAAACGATAAATAAATCCAAAATTTAAAAAATCTCTCACCTTCTGCTCAAATTAGAATAAAGAAAACACATGAAGTGTACTGGCAAAATAACTCACAAGCCAGATGGGCAATACATCTCTAAGAAACTTTATTACAATAATTTAAAGTTTGAAATTGGTCATCTCAAGCTGTTGTTTTGAATGGCCGCTCTGGTGGAAAAAAGCTTGAACTGAAGCAACAGAGGCATGTTGTAATTCAGCCATTCAAATCAGTCTTATCACAGATTATTACATCAGCACAATGAGAGCCTCAGCATCCAATCAGAAATCAAACTGCTGAACAAACTACACAAAATACACTATGAGCACATCATTTATCAGTATCAAATTGTAAGCATGTTTGAATAAATTTTCTGTTATGTTCCCTGCCAAACACACATGCATACAAACACAAACATGTAGGCTGATTAGTTTGTTCACTCAGCTCATTGGTTCACAAAGACAGCAAGTGCTGCTGTCCCTGGTGACTAGCCAGAATGAGTCCGAAGCAGCAGACTTTAACAATGCTAATTTACCTTTATTGATTGACAGGATGTTTGTGAGTATGTGTGTGTGTGTGTTTCCCCCTCAAGAACAGTGTTTAAAGGTGCTGTATGTAGGATTGACACCGAGTGGTTGAACTAGGTATTGCAGTCCAAATTTTAATATTGGAGAGGGTTTTTTTCACCCGCCCCTCCTTCTCAGACTTGAAGCACATGCAGGTTGCCAGATTGACGACACCAACAAGGAACGAGCGCGCTTGACGATGAATGAAATGAAATAGGCTGTGTTTTCCGTCAACTGGCAACCCGGGGTGCCGAAATACAATTCAAAGGATATTCAAAGGAGAATAACTGACTGTAGCATTGTTTTTAAGATAAGCAAGTATGTTAACTTAGCATGTTTCTTAAGTATCTGCAAACATATTATGGTATTTTTTATGCTTTAGTAGAGTCAAAAACTTACATACAGCACCTTTAAGTGTCAGGCCTGTTTTTTTATAAAAGTAGTAATGTTCCAGAAAGCTCTTTGTTTTGAGTGCAAAGAAAAAGTGGAGAGATCCACACCTCCCTAGCAACATGAATACATTAATAGAAACAAACATGCACTAAAAGTGATGAAAAGAATCTCGCTTTTAAGGTGTGCATGTTTGTGTTAAAGAAAAGCAACTATGTGAAAACACTAACAGGGTTTTTATCAAGCGGAGCTGAAAGGCAAATTGTACTCCACTTTATGGGCCTATTCTTTATGCAAAGCTTGGATGCAGTGCTGTCCTTGTCTAACTTCTCTTTACCTTGAGACTAACGCAGTTTAGAAAACTACTAAAAAAGTTAAAAAGAAATCTCACAGAAAACGCAGAACATAATAGAATCAATGCCATTTAAACACATCTATCTAAATAAGGACATTTCGTAGACTTATATTATGTTAATAAGTTAAATATAATTAATACAGACTTACCCTAAACCTAGTCCTAAATTAAAATATTTAGCATTTTTTACATTTATTTTCAGTATTTATTTACGTTTATTACAAATAAATGTATTATTACTATTATTAATAATTAATTCCTAATTAATAATAATAATAATAAATATTTATTAATTAAATTTATTTTCCAAATGCAAATTCCTGCAAAGGATACATTTAGCTAACTTCAAGGAACAGTTACGCCCTCAAAGTATAGCATAGTACACGCGCACACACAGTGTGAGGTCTTTCACTGAGTGATTGCTTGTCAGACTGTGTATTGAGGTTAATGGAGACGACATGGCTAGTCCCACATTCAAGCATCAGTGTTGATACTCATCAACAACACATCTGATTCGCAGGTCTTCAGCACTGCCTCACCTCCTGACATGCATGCTGATATCATTTCAGATTAGCAGACACCAATTTAGGTCACTCGCACACACATAAAACCTCTCAAGAGACAAAACTGTGGAGACTTTGTATGTGCATCTCTGATCGTACCTGTAGGAGCCCCGACCCAGGCCAGACCCAGGACTCCATCATCAAAGTCTCTATCTGTGAAGACATAGGCTAGACAGTAGTCATCGTGATTCTGCTCCGAGTTGAGTTCAAGAAATTTCTCCACACCAATGTTGGCAAATCGAAAAGGGTTAGAAGCATCCTTCTCATCTTCGGTAGTGTTGATCTGAAATGAAAATGCAAACAAACTTCAGTTTAATACAACAGACAGTCTGCAGTCTATGTTCAGTATACATGAGATACAGGATAGATATGTTAATATTGTGTCCACATTCTTAGACCGATGTCACTGAGTTTTTTTGTCATCTCATGCAGGAATGCTGTGTTAAAACACTGTGTCAAGTTAAAAACAGTTCTGTTTTTGTGCATCAAAAAACACACTTTTGTCCAAAACGTTTTTTTAAACACATTCTGTGTGAACGCCCCCTTAAGCAGCCCAAAAAAAAAAAAAAAGTAGTAGCATGGGTGAACTATACAAGTCTTCAAAAGAGCTGCAGTACAGGGCTGACATGCTTTTATTGACATCTGGTCAATCCTGGGTGAGATCTGTAACCCCTCTGATGGAACTTGTATTCTAACCAGCAAATCACAGTCAATAAGAAGAATATCCTGTTTATATTCCAGACATATTTACATTAGCATCAGTAACTACAAATTACACTTAATCCATAATATTTCACTAGGGAATGACATACATATAATATTAATAAGTAAACTGAAGAAAGAGAGAACACACTCACCTTGATTCTCTTCACCATGAAGCTAATGTTGCGGATGCCCTTAAAATCTGTGCTTTGATAGATGGAGTCAATGGCCTTCACATGACTGGAAATCTGCACAACCCAAAAGAACAACCCTATAAACGTACAATATAAAAAACTGCAGGTACCATATACCACTAAGTCTCCTGTGCTTTAGGTGTACCTGTGCGATCACAGCCTCCCTGCTGCCGTAGTATTTGTGAAAGAGGTGATCCGTCTGGATGAAGAGCTGACAGGTATTTTTCTCTGCCTGTGCTGCACGACGTTTCCTCAGGATCACCGGTCCATCAGCCAACTCTTCGTCAATCACGTGGTTCATATGCTGCAGAAAAAAACAGCAGGATGTATAAAAAATTCACTGAGGAGGCTGAGAAGAAAAACATTTATGTTTGGGCACAGATAAAATAATGTATAATTATTTATAATAAAAATAATGCATTTCTCATTTATAATTTATCATCTATATCTAATTTATATCTGATGAATTATGGATCTATTCAGGCAAGGTATCAAATTGAAATCTGAAATTCAGAACCATGGGAAACAGGAAATGTTCCAAATCTCTCCGTGTAGCACGGTTTCCGTGTTTGTTTGCATTGTGAGATCAGTATCATGGTGCTAGTTGGAGATATCAGTGGTGTTCAGCTGAGTTGTGTAAAGGGGTGTTGGCGCTGACCTGGGTGGGCTCCTCCACTGCAGATGCCTGGTATTTCTTCATCCTCTCAAAAACAGAGTGATCTGCACAGCCACCTTCTGCTCCATATTTATGAGGATAATCTGTGTTGGTAAAATCAAGAGTTTCTTGAAAACCAAAGCAACACAATGCTCTTAGTGTACATTTCTGAACCATACTGTTAACATGTGAAGTCTCTAATTAGGTGACCTGCTGAAATTTTATTTCACTCAACTTCATTAATTTATGCCCTTTTATTTACATTTTCTATTTATTTTAAACTTCAGTATTTCACATAAGAATATGACACATAACTGAAAAGAACTAGTCAGAACTAGACATTTATCCTGAGGGAAGCCTCTCAGTGAGGAAACTGCAAAGAGCACTATCACACACTACTCCTAAGGAAGAACTGCGAACGCAGCTGTTACCAAGTCCACCTATTCCTGTTACTGTAATGGGAACCGCACAAAGTGTTATTGATATTTGACATCTCAGGCTTTTTGTGGCTGCAGAGCATAACATCTTCTTATATCAACTGCACTGCTTACTATTTACAGAATTTAACACAGCACTGACAGTTTCTTTCATTATTGCTATTGCTTACCGATCACTATTTGATGGCTACATTTGATGACTGAACAAAGAAAAGGTTCTGTACTTTCACTCACACTAACAACTTTATCAAGTTTCTGTAAGTAGGATAAAAAAATCTGGGGTTTCTCCAAAAATACAGTAAAAACAGTAATTTATAAAATACAATCAAAATAAATAAAATAACTGTCTTCTATTTTTAATATATTTTATTTAAAATGTAATGTATTCTTGTGATGGCAAAGCTTTTTAGCAGCCATTACTCCAGTCCCCATTGTGACATGATCCAGAAATCTATTTTTCCCCCAAGATTATTTGATTAAAAGAAAGTTTAAAAGAACAGCATTAGTTTGAAATAGTTTTTTATTTTTGTAACATTGTTATTGCATCCTTGTTGAATAAAAGTACAAACATTTTGACAGAGTTCATTCTGGACTCTGCTTTCACTTCTTGCAATAACCAAACATCAGCAGAAATGAAAATGAATGTATAATCAAGTGTCTTCTCTAGATATTGTATATTTTTAATGGAAAGTCTATATTGAAATCCTGCCAGCATCCATAATCAAAGAGCCTTTGCTACCCTCCTGTTGGCAGGTTAGTCAACCGAAGTGATCTGCTATATGCAATCTAAATTTCAAGGGAGCAGTCATTACAGAGAATGCAAGCCAGCAGGTGGAACACACACAAAAAAACAAAAAAAAAAGAAAAAAAAAATTCACTGCCTTAAAATTTGGTACAGGTGTCATATCAGCTTGGCTGGTGACCAGCGGAGTACCTACCAACTCACAGATTAGAAAAGGACAGACTGCAAAGAAATAATGAAAATAACACAACAGAACTTAAGCAGTGTAAATGTGTGCAGCTCTTACACAACAGTCTAATTACCCATGACAGGTTTAGGCTGATGGTTTTCTCAGTCCCAGGACAGCCAGACACTGGCAGTGAGAGAAGAGAGCTGGTCTAATGAGACAGCAGAGCTCTGAAAGTCCATTCAGAATTCCACAGAAAACAGTAACCAAACACAGACACTGAGAATCCCACACGAGTTAATAATCTATACAATTCGGCATCATGTGCATGGCTTCGTGACATCACGATGATGCATCTGGTTGAGTGGAATTGCTGCATTAGCCCGTCCGTCACTGGACGATTCACAGGACGAACGGTGTTCAGGGAGTGTCAAGACACTGAGTTTATTCTCCTGAGAGAACTTGTTTTCTTCAAGCAAGAACTGACTGTTGTGGAATAATGTTAGCATGTACAGACAATGCTAAATCAAAATGTGCTCTTTCATGTGAGGGCATGGAGGAGAAGAGAATATGTATGTGGCTGAAGGTCTTGGTGGTAGTTAAGGAAAGACTTTCACTCTGATCACAATTACTCAATTTCTTCTCTGTGAGGTTTTTATTGTCCCACACTGAATGCGGCCCCATTCAAATGCAAATCTATGTTGGGCAGAACAAGAGAGACATCTGTCTAGAGGAAACGAGTCTGAAAGGAAATGACAAGTGCCTCGAGGAGAGTACCGAAATCTATCTTCTGAGATAAGAAAAATCTCTGACTTATCAAAGTAATCTAAAGTAAATCTCCATCACGTGCGTGCTTTCACATTGAGCAGCATTAACTACACAGAGCCGTTGTTCGCTGACAAGCTGCGCAAAACCACGATCATATTTTGCACGTTTTGCGCAGCTTGTCGGTGAACAACGGCTCTGTGTAGTTAATGCTGCTCCATGTGAAAGCCCGCACGTGATGGAGATTTACCGCTGATTGCAGAATGGCTTTACTGACAAGATGCGCGTTAAATATCGCATGCGATTTATCGTGCAGCCCTAATCTAAATGGAAGCATGGCGAGCTTTTAGCTAAAATCCCAGATTCATTTTTTACTCTTGAAAAAAATGAACACAATAAAAAATGTGGACTGTTTGAAGTTATTCATGTATTGACACATTTTTGCTAAGTAATGAATAGCAAAACAACAACACACCACATAAATAAAACTACAAACAACTACTCAGAAACGCAAGCTGTGGTTGTGAGAGGTTGTCTCAAGCGGGAAGTGCAGGGTTTCAGTATTAACAACCCATATTGTGATGACTGACCTTATCAAAATATGCAATAATACCAGATGAAAAAAAATAATAATAAAATCCATTATGGTGAACCTAAGCTGGCTGACTTCTGCAAGGTGCTGGCCTTGGAACAACCATGTGCGAGAAGGCATCATGGGAATGAGGGAAATTACCAGAGGCAAATGCCAGGTTAGTAAGAAGCCCCAAATCTAACTCTAAAATCTTGGTTGAAAGGTATTTTTCCCAGGACCAAAAGGATGTTGAACAGGAACATGTCCCGCTTGGCAAAATCACCTACAGGAAAACAAAGACTTCCTGAAAAAAACTTAATATTAGTTATCCATTAATCTGCATCAATACAGTACAGTAGATGTATTCACAGTAATGAATGCATGTAGATGAAATGATGAATTACATGATTTCTCAAAGGGATTTATTTGTGATTGAGAAAGGTCTCTGTTTACAGCAGCCTCCAGGAGTTTGACTAAAGCTCTGCTGGAGCATTAAATTACTCTAGTTAGAATCAATTCCCTTAAGTCAGATATTAAGAACATGAGCCCAATGAAAGAATAATTAATTATAGGCCTTTCTTATTTAGAGAAGTTGGCTGAAACCAATTCTAAATATGGCCAGTTACATTCATCACAATTTTTGATTTTATCATTTAAAGGTTCAGTGAGGTTTTCCTGAAAGTGTATGTTTCATGTGTTACAAACCCACATGAAACATTTTGAGCCTGGCATGAGCCAATGAGTGATCCAGAGTTCACTCCCCTCTCCAGCTGCCCTCCTTCTGACCTTTGTCCTTGTGCTTCAATAGACTACTGTCAGCCACAATTAACTCTTTTTTTCCCCCTTCCCATAGATACAAACTCACTGTCCCCATCTGACCTCATCCAGTCTTGCAGTGAACATACATTAGCTCTATTTAATGATGATAAACTCTCTAACTTGTAGTGCATGCACAAACTCAGCATGTAAGCAGCATATGTGTGTGAGCTAGCGTTAGTTATTCTGTTCCTCCCACAACTGATAGCGACATTGAGCACTTCATCACTTCAAAGTACTAGAATGACATAGGTGTATGGAAAAGACGTTTCAATTCCTTTTGTACTAGTACATGCTGTTAACACTATAATCAATTTCCTTGTTGCTTGTCCAGTTTTGTAATGTATTCTCTTAAAGTGACAGTTCACCCAAAAAAGTATATCATCATTTACTCGCCTTCATATTGTTCTAACCCTGTATGATGTTCTTTCTTCTGTGGAACACGAAAGAAGATATTCTGAAAGCCAATGTCCAAACAACATTGAACACTGGACCCACAGACTTTGATTGTATGAAAAAAACAACAGATTTAAAAAAAATTTTTTTTTTAATTATCTTCTTCTGTGTTCCACAGAAGAAAGGTGAAAAGAAGTCAAGAAAGTAAATGATGATAGAATTTTCCTTTCCTAAATTTTCCCTTTTTGGGTGAACTATCCCTTAACAGTGATATACATAATAATAATAATAATAATAATAAGCTTATTTTTACGTGTATATCTTCAGTGTCACATGATCCTTCAGAAATCATTATAATATGCTAATTTGGTGCTCAAGAAATATTTCTTCTTATTATCAATCATGAAAACAGTAGTAGAAACTGTGATACATCTTTGATGAATAGAAAATTCAAAAGCATAGAATGTTTGAAGTACATTTACTTGAAATAGAAATCTTTTGTAGCATTATAAACATCTTTACTGTCACTTTTGCGCAACAAAAGTAATAAATAAACAAATAATAATGAAAATAAATAACACTACTGCCCCAAACTTTTAAACAATTGTGTATATAATATTTCTATAAAGATGAAAGTGTACCAGATACCAAGCTGCTAATCTTTGACAGGCTGTCACTTTTTATAATTTATTTTACTTGAGGATATTATAACAGTGATAACCTACACTAGTATTTAAGGGGCTTTAGCAGCCTGTTGAGCTGGAAAAGTGCACCACTATGTTTGATTGAGGGTGAGAGAGTGACAGAATGCAAGATAGGGAGAGTAAAACACAAAAGACAGTAAAGTCTACAGCACACTAGAAGACTCAAGCTTGTTTCCTTCAAATTTGTAGTCTGTGCCTAGTCTGCTTAAGGGGAGAAGGGGAAGCTCACTGCATTTTGCTGTGTCCGAACTGCTTTATTTGTGTGACAATGCTTTGTATTACACTGATTCACTCAATTTTATGCTTATGATCCAAAACACCTTTCTAAAACATTATAATGGCCATCATAATGTGATGTAATTCTAACAATAACAGCACTTTTCCATCCAAAAGCAATCAAAACATGCAATTTGAAACCAATTCCATAATCCAGCCATTATAACAGCTCTCATCACACTCGGGGGAGTCTCAAAACATCAGTGATTGGAGTCAGACTCACTCAGACACATTAATCTATCAGTCAAAGAAGCAAGCATGATATGGATCTTTACTGTGCATAAAATGGATTATGCTGAAAGCAGTTTATTTACATTTAGAGCATCTAAAGTTGACTTGAGCAACTGGTTATCTTAAAATTACTTGGTTTGACAAGGTTTTTAAAAAAATGTATTTATGAATATACACCACTGTTCAAAAGTTTGGGGTCAGTGATTTTTTTTGAAAGAAATTAATACTTTTAATCAGCAACAGGATGCATTAAATTGATTAACAGCATGAATATTGCAGTCAAAGGAATAAATAAAATTTCAATACAAAACATTGTAATAATATTTCACAATCTTATTATTTTTTCTGTATTTTTGATCAATAATTGCAGCCTCAGTGAGCATAAGTGACTACTTTCAAAAGCATAAAAAAAACATTACTGACCCATAACCTTTGAAAGGCAGTGTACAAAATGAGCTTGCTTGCTAAATATATCTATATAATCTAAAATAATCCACAGAATCTATAACAACTTAGGGGTGTGTGATATATATTTTGATCTTGGATGATTAAAATGTCTCCACGATCTGCTTTTGAGGAAATATCGCAGTATTGTGCTACAGCGCACAATCTATCAGTTGCAGTTCTGGCGCCTCCGTCTCAATATAGGCTACTGTACAACGTGACATACATTCACATCAAATGTTAACTCAACGGAAGAGTTACACTCACGGGACACTGCACTTATTCGCATTTACAAAAGTAGATTATTTGCATGTGCTTTAAAGCCTTGCCGGTTAAACATTTAATTTGCGTGCTGTTCTGACATGCGCTTTTTGTGAGCGTGTACACCCGAAGTCCGTGCGCACACTAAAAAGCCTGACAAACAGTGGCTGACATATAAACACAGTCGGTTATGTCTAAAGTGAAAGTAAACAGTTGAAAGAAAAACACCTGCGTGCCTGTATATTAGATGCGTGCAGGTCTTAAAGCAACAGTACTAAAAACATACTGCTGCTTGTCATTAATGTTAATAAAACAACAAAACACAAAGAGAAATAAAACTCACTCACTGCTCATGAATGAAGAACTTAAATACAGTTGCTTTAATAAGAATCAATATATAATTTATACAGTGAAATGTATTTAGTGTTTTATTTTTATATTTGTTCATTCAATTTCTTGAATGCTACTGCTAAATACACCAACTGTACCTGAAAAATAAAGCATGGTTTGTTTTATTTGTATATTATGTGTATTTGTAATGTGTATCTTTGTTCTTATTTTATAATAGCAAAGATAAAATAATGGCAAAGATTTTTTATCTTTGCCCACTTTGGCCTAAATATCTGCCATTATTTTTTATTTTATATTTTGTTACCTTGTAAGGCTTTGTTTTTAAAACAGGGAAATTAGTTTGGCTGTACTGCTCAGACAACTTGCAAAATAGTAAGACCAATATGACAAAGAATCGTGATAAAATTGTGAATCATGATATTCCTGAAAAAAAATTGTGATATATTTTTGCCATATCGTCCACCCCTAACACAAACACGGTCAGAAAGCTGGACACAGTAAAACATTAAATAAGTGATGATTAAGGATATGATGTAGGTCAGTACAATGCAATATTAGCTCACCGATATCATCCTCATGGTAGATGACTGAGTGGTAGGGCACATTTTGGTCTTTGAGGTATCTCTCTGAGGGTTCTACGTAGTATGTGCCCTTATGGCTCTTAATGAAACCCTCAAATTTCCCATCCACGATAGAGCCATGGGTCAGAGTGCCCTTCTCACCTGCAAGATTAAAAAAACAAACCAGAGATTAAAGCCCAGCAAATGCAATTGTAAAGCTATTCAGGGCACAGAAAGAGCTCTCTCTCTCTATGCTGGCAGACAGAGGGAATGTTATGAAATATGACAAAAGGAGAATGTATAAAGAGCAGCTTCCATATTATGATCCAGTCATTCATCTCCAACAACATAAACACACACAGTGCACACCACACAACTAATGGCGCTTTTCCACTGCATGGTACGGCTCGGCTCAGTTTGCGTTTCCACTGCAGTTTAGTACCTCTTTAGATTATAGACATGTTGTTATAGTTTGTGCCGCCTCTACTGCCGCGACCTCCTGAAAAACTTTTTCATTCTGCGTCATCCCATCAAGCTCTCGCTAGATCTGCTCCTCGGCTATCAACAAGAGGAACGTCTGTAATTCCTCAACAGACCACGAAACAGCCATTATTTTGTTGTTTAAAAAAAGGTGCACTCATTCGAAATTGTTGCATTCGTTCAAAAAAAGTTGCATTCGATCCTCGCTGGCTGTGCTGATTCAATCTAGTGGGTCTAGTGTCACGTGTCGCAAGTTCAATGACGCAGGTAGTGACGATTCTCTCCGGCAAATCAGTGATCAGCAGGGTTTACACGTCACGTTTTGGTAACGGTACGCCCGTGCCGTACCATGCAATGGAAAAGCGCCATAAGCCTGACCTTTAGAATGGTAATGAGCCCAGCAACCTGGCTACTGTCTCTGACAATCCAAGTAGACCCGTTGACATGTCGTTATAGTTGCGCCGCCTCTACTGCCATACTGAGTGACCTCCTGAAAAACTTGTTCATTCTGTGTCGTCCCATCAAGCTCTCGCTGGATCCGCTCCTCGGCAATCAACGAGAGGAACGTCTGTAATTCCTCAACAGACCACGAAACAGCCATTATTTTGTTGTTTAAAAAAAGGTGCACTCATTCGAAATTGTTGCATTCGTTCAAAAAAAGTTGCATTCGATCCTCGCTGGCTGTGCTGATTCAATCTAGTGGGTCTAGTGTCACGTGTCGCAAGTTCAATGACGCAGGTAGTGACGATTCTCTCCGGCAAATCAGTGATCAGCAGGGTTTACACGTCACGTTTTGGTAACGGTACGCCCGTGCCGTACCATGCAATGGAAAAGCGCCATAAGCCTGACCTTTAGAATGGTAATGAGCCCAGCAACCTGGCTACTGTCTCTGACAATCCAAGTAGACCCGTTCTTCATCTACAGATTTTACTTCATCTGGAACCATACATCAACATTTACACTGATTGATTTAGGAAATGCTTTTAATCAAAGTAACAAATAAGGACATAGCAACAAAAATGAGTAGTCAGTATGTGTCTGAAATTATGCAAGAATACCATCCGGAACCAAGAACAAAAGTGAGACAGTAGAACTCCAGTATAAAATAAATAAATAAATAAATAAATACATACATACATAAATTATTATTTCATTATTGTATTAACCCATTAATGCCCAAGTTTGTTACAGAGGTAACTACAAATATTTGCCTTTTTTTTCATACTATTATAAAACGTTAAAACATACAGACTTATCGTTTTTAAATGGATTAACTGTCAAGCGCTCAGAGAAGACATGTTTTCACACATTTTTTGAAGGTATTGAGGGACCAGGAAAATTATTTTACCATTGGGGAACAATGAAATTGAACTACATCTGAATTTGAAGTGCAGTACAGAAAAACAAAGGAGTGGAGCTTCCTAGACCAACAGCACATCCTGGAAAATTCTGGTTCAATTTCAAAACCGATTGCCAAGTTCCACATGTGCAACACATGAACCCTAAAATAACAAAGCATGGACCCGACAGAACAGACCACGAAAAGGAACTGTTGTCTATAACATTGTAGACATCTTAAGCTGTCAAAATCTCAACAGTCATTTTTGCCCGTTGGAAATTCTTGTCCACTTTAAGCAAGACAAATAAAAGAGAAGCTTTTAATGTTTCACAAGCGTTTAGCTCTTACAAGCACCACAAGTGCTTTAAAAGAAAACATACTGCAATAAAACGGTTAACTGGGATTTACCAGGAGCTGTCTGCTATCATGGTTAAATGGCAATGAGAAAGTTGTGGTGTGTGTTTTGGCTGTTTCTCAGGCACAGAGGAAGAACCTGCAATACGATTTCTTTCTTCAGAAAGGAACAAGATCTGAAAGCTCTTGAACTTTTCATCCCTAAAACTGATAATAACAGAAAGAGGAGATTCACTCTCATACCCTGTGTGACATTAAACTACTGCTCTCCTCCATCCCTCCCTGACCTTCTGTTCTCTCGTTCACAGATTAAAACAACAGAAAAGCTGATGAGGAGAAGCATGAAGACACGCAAGAACATCAAACAAGCAACAGGCACAATATACTTTTCCAAATATTTCGCTTCTTATGAAGTCAATCCTAATAAACGTACTGAATTTGTGTAGCAGTTCTCTGAAGTGGATTTCATCTCTAGACAAGTCCTCCTCATTAGCCACCAGAGCAAAAAAAAAAAAAAGAGCAGAAAAGAGAAATGCTAATGAAAGAACAGCTGTTAATGTCATTGCCTTTCCACAGAGAATTTGCGCCATCCCGGCCTGCTTCAAACTCTTCTGTGAATATTAGAGGTTGCAAGATTAAGCACTGAGCGATGTTTATCCTTTAGAGAGTACAAAGAGTGCTAATGGATAACAAAGAGAGAGAGCGGGAGCGAGAATGTTAGAGGACGGCTGAGAAAAAGTGAAATTGTAAAATATGAACATTTAGGTGCTTAAGGGCTTTTTAATTTCAAACATTTTTGAGAAAGAGTGTCCAAATTTAGAAGAGACAGAAATGAGCATTACGGATAGTGTTTTAGTCATAGTTTTTGTCTTCTGACAAAAATGTAGTTAAATGTAGTCAATATTTCATCACGTCATATGTATGTCACATTTTAATAATAATAATCTTAAATTGTATGCCCTTGCTGAATAAAGGTATTACTTTCTATCAAAACGTTTGAGCAGCAGTATATGTACAAAACGAAGAAAATGTGTCAAACTGTAACAGATTAAACTTTAATCACATTTGCAAACATTTTGAAATGTATAAACAATCTCCAACATATATAATTGAATTATAAGAATGAATTCTTTTAACATTTATCTTCTTAAACAATTTCTAGTGCATTGCTGTTTATATCTTTTAGTTTTCATCAACAGTACATTTTTCATTATAAACAGTTTCATTATATTCACAGTGCAGAGGAGTCTCATCTTCAATGCTGTAATACATAACTTCAAAACAATACTAAAAAAAACTTCATCAAGAAACAAAATGGCAATAAATTTTTTAAAATTTTCATTCTTAAACTGCCAGTAAAAAGTTGATCCGACAACTTGTGAAATGCAGTTCTTGATCTGTGGTGTTAAAAAATCTACTGTGTTTTAAAGGGGAGCGATAGCATTGCTTATTAGTGTTTATTCACCACTTCCAATAAAGAAACAGTTCAGAACAACTCTCAACCACGTTCACTTCCTCAGGCCTAAAGTCCTTCACTCACCCATATCAACAGATCACATGAACGTCATCTCCTGACAATACCAGTTATTATGAAACATCCTGTGGTGAGCAGGAAATTATATGAATCCATTCAGAGCAATTCAGAGACTGAAAGGATGTGTCAGTATTAGTAATAGGGTCAGGAGAGATGCTCAGAGTCAATAAGGATGCCTGATCATCAGATGAAGAGAAAAGGGAAAGTAGTTTTCATCCACCAGTAGGCAGTCTGTCCATCATTTAAAATACATAGGTAATTGTTCAGATCTCACTAATGTGTGTTTATCGTAAGCTGTACCCATCATCAATCAGGTTCAGTGCCTCATCGCACTACAAAGAACATAATGAGAATAAGGTGATGATACAGTTGTCATGATGTAAGCTCAGAAACTTCAGAAATGATCAAGCGAAAATGAAGAGTAACTGAACAAGACATTTCATTCACTTGTGCAGAAGATGAGATCTGAAACCACTGACTGCAAAGAAAATGCTCAAAACTTAAAAAGTGACTGAATTAAAATGTATCAGTGACAAGAGACAGTAGAAAGCTATACAATCTAACATTAGAACCAGGCAATTATTTAAAATGTGTCCTAGCAGAACTTTTGTGTTATTTAAGACTGAAGTGTTTTACATAAAATTATTTCATGCAGTGTCTTTTTTTGACAAAATTCTATATGTTTAGCATTGTGTGAGAGGATTTAAGTTTACATTTGGTCAGCGGGTTATGTGAGAAATAAATGAGGTGCACAGTGGTCAGATCCATGTGGAAAATGTCATCACAGCAGGGTGTGTGTGGTTCGGCCCTATGACAGGACACACCTTCACTTTATTGACATTTGCCTTCTTTTACAAACCCAACAGAAGAAAAGCGAAAAAAGCATAAAACATTTGCCGAATAAATTCCTCCATGTGCATTAAAAAAGTCATGTGAATTTGCGCTATTGGACGGCATAACCTGAGTAACCAGCAGACTGATCTTGTTGGACAGCATCTGAAATGTTATGGTCATTCTTAAATAGACATCAAAGTCTGTCGTCAAAGTATTTCTGTATAATTATAATCTTACATGACTGCATTCCCAAACAGTAGCATCCACCTCCGAAAGCAATGACCACATTTATTGTGTTTCGTCAACTCGCTCTGAGTAATTTAATATATATGAAAATTATTATATTCAGTGGCTTCTCCTACATTTTTTTGTGATATTTAGTGCCAGTTTATCAGGAATTGACGATATTGTTCTCTTTGACTCGTTGGATGGAAACGGTGCTTATCTGCAAATGTTTTATGCAATATTCCAATTTTGCACATAAGAGAAATTCACAACTTTAGATGGAAACCCAGTCAGTAATTTTTTTAAACTTTTTGAGCATTTCTATCAGAAGGCACTGAATGTCATTATCACCAATTTAGTTAAAAAAAAAATTCAAATATAATATGGCTATTACATATTATTATACAAAAATACAACAAGGACACATTTTAACTACACGGTTAAGAAATACTTCTATCCAGTATGCATTAATTTGAGTCACAATAAAAACATTTTTAATGTTACAAAGGACTTCTATATGTTTGTGTATGTTCTGTATGTTAGTATATGTTTGAAACAGATCACTAAGGTAGCTGCAGAGGCACCTGTATAACTAGATAAGCCTAAAAGAACATAATGAAGTATCAGACATTACCAAAAAAAAAAAAAAAAGTTTAATTCATCATGGGGTACTTTTGCCCCCAAAATTTTAGGCATTTTCTGTGGATCAAATGAAAGTACAACTCCACCAAAAAAGCATTTTTTCCCTCACTATATCTTAATTACTCTCTACCTTACATGAGATGCACAAAAATCACACTACATCTTCAAAAACAGTGTACAAATACAATAGATGGAGGCAACGTTTCCGTGGCAACTCAGGAAGTGTGTTGAGGTGGATGCATGCCTTTATGCACAAGTGTGTGCATGTGTGAGTGCTGGAAAGGTGCCATGCTCACCATAAATTTCTCCAGTGTAAATGTGAGAGGTGTCATAGGGAATCTCTTCTCCAGAAACTTCCACCTTCAGATCGGGAGCGAAGAGAGAGGTGTCCCTCTTCATCCGTAGGTTAAAATGCCTGATGGAAGGAGAGAGAGAAAGAGAACAAGATTAATGGACTGTGAAATTGCCCGTGAGTGTACAAAATGTGTCCCAACAGAGGTGGATACAAGACACACAATATTTGAGATGCTGTGCAACACACACCGAAATACTAACATTCTGAGCCAAGTCAGAATAAGAGTCATGATGCAGAGCATTACTGAAACTATGAGATAAAGGAGGAATAAGGGAAATCTGCCAAACAGCATTTCTCACTGCCAAATTTTTTTTTTCTCATTTATTTTTCTCCTTTCCAGCATTTATAATCAAAACGTATCTTCCCTTCAGATTAATCCATTTCCAATTGGCACATTATGTCATTAGGATTTTCTAGAAACACTAGGTGCTGGTGAGTGACGCACAGTGATTCAAAATGATTCATCTGGGTTATTAACTTGACACAGTTCTACACGGTGATGCTCTGACGTGTCGAAATTTATAATTGAGTGTGTGCTGGATGTCTAGTTGAAGACATGGTGGATTAATGAGAGAAAAAAAATCACTGAGTAAAAGAATGTTACAACAAGAATGATAACCATAAAAATACAGAAATTATAATGATAACTATATTAGTATCCACACCAGAGCATAAAAAAGTTTTATTTAAGCATGCACTGCAGTTTTGTCGTCTGCCACTTTAAATGTTCAAGCTCTTTAAAACAGGAAGAATTCAATGTTTTTATTGTTCATTAGGTGGAAAAAAAATCATTCTGAAAGTGGTCTCAACATTATCATTCCCCTGTGTCTTTATCGTAATATTTATGGTGTGGACTTCCCTATTTTCAAAGAATTAGAACGATTATTATAGCTTTATAGTTATCTTTACAGTTATCATCCTTGGTGTGAATGTGTCTTAAGACGCCACCATCAGGCCCAGAATCAATCTCTCTGATACAAATATACATGCTCGAAATCGTTGAATCTGTAGAATGGGTTTAAAGTACTTCACTCCTCATAACAGCCAAAACAACCATCAAATCTGTAATATTTTTAATAGAAAGGCAAACGCTATAATGCTATTTTCATATACCTTTCACTTTGTTTAAAAGTTCTGTCTAATTTTTTATTAGACAGAACTGTTATACAATGACAGTAAACTATGAAGATGGAGTCTGCTTTCTCTCAGGCGCTGGCATTTCTTTTGCTGTTTCTGCTTTTGACACTTATTAGAGACTTATTAAAAAAAACATATCGGCTGATGGCGATAATAAAAAAAAATAAATAAAAAAAACTAATATCAACCATGGCGATACATCGGTTGCCCAATATGTTTTAATAAACAAACATACAAGGGGTGGGGAATGTATATGGCATTACAAGTCAATTAATACCCACAGAGCTTTCTGCAGAGTACTGTGTGTGCAGATTACATCAGTCATTTGTTTTGTTGACAGGAGAGAGAGAGAGAGAGAAAAAAATGTCATGCTCTGCTGAAATGGCACTGACCACCCTGCGATCATGGATTCCCTCAGGATAAACGGGATCAGGCATCACCCATGCTCGTGCAGCTGAGCCAGTGTTGTTTGTGTGTGTGTGAAGCCCTTGTCTCTAATATATCAGAGGACTAAAGGAGCCAGACAAGATGTGCCCCATCGGGGAGATTTTAATTATGTTAGCTAGAGAAAAGACATTACATATGAAAAACAATACAGTATTGACCTGAAAAAAAACCCCCACAAAGCTGAATTTCATAAGAGGCTCAGTACAGGAACAGGAAGACTCAAAGCCAAAGGGGTGGAGACACATCCCTGTAGTAAACACTCCTAGTGTAGAGGACAGCAGCTCAGTGCTCCACCCAGCAAGGGGTTTGACCTTTGTGCAGGTGAGACTCACTGCTAACATACGCTCGTACGGTCATGAGGAAACTGAGAACAACAATGAGAGAGAGAGGGACATGAAGAAGAGTAGGAGGAAAAGAAGAGAGAGGAAACTAAAGGACAAAGAGTCCTGGAGGGAGAACAGGCAGGTGGAAGCGGTCTGGCCATTCTCAGAACTCTCTAATTAAAACTACCCTTCACATAGACACACACACACCCTCTCCTAAATGAGGACACATAGACATTTACAGTTTTTTATGTACTGGAAATTGTAATTTATTACAGACAACCCCTAATCAATGTACAGCCAAGTAAACTTACATACATTTTCACTACACAGCTATCTAAATGAGAACACTCCATAGACTTCTATTTGCGGCTAGTTATAAATACTACTATATCCTCACTTCAACCCTTTTTATTACCAACTCAAACCTGGAGGAAAGTTTATCATCAAACAAACTCGGACACATTTAGCACGAGTAGCATCATCAACTAATTGCTTAATCCAATTCAGAGAGATAGTTCACAAAAAATAAAATTCTGTCAACAATTACTGACCCTCATGTTGTTGAAAACCTTTTAAAATATTTCTTCTGTGGGACACAAAAGGAATTTTTTTTAATCGTACTGGTTTTTCTTTTTAAATTTCACTGAATGATTGAGGCTTTCAAGCTTGAAAAAGGGCACAAAAGGCAATATCATAAAAGTATAGAGAAAAATAGTTTTGAGCATGAAAGTGATTAATTAATGATTTAATTTTTTTCATGTTTAAATGGGAACTATTCCTTTAGATAGGAGGTTTGTGGGACATACACTGATTCCAACTTGTTAATGTTAATGGCAACTCCCACTAGGCAGTAAACATAAAAGTCTGCAGTACACATTCTCTAGTACAGAAGGACATTAGGAGTACTGTAGAACATATATGTTCATACCATTCAAACAGTGTCACTAACCAATGCTTTAACACACAAAAGACATGAATACCTCAGGACAAGCACTAACAGGTAACAATACCTACCATTAATGGGTGGACACAGTAGCAGAGATTCGAGGAATGAGCATTTTTAACGTGTTCTTTCTTGTGAGATCCAGTGAAGTGTTATGCTCAGACAAAAGGAAGTAATGCAGGAAGTCTCAAAGTTTTCAAAATCCAGTGTCTAAATCAGAGAACGGCTTCAGAGAACCTTAGTCAGTATGTGACTCAGATCGTGAACAACATCCGCCGTCTTACTCAACATTCCATGGTGGGCTAACACTCAAAAACCACCCAAGCACCCAAAACCCCCACACTCTTGCTCGGTCTACACCTCATCTAGCCATATGAGTCATAGTGGAGACCACAGAGCACAACATTTTCCCCCAGTGCCCAGAGCCATTCAGAGTCTTTGCTATCCATGTCAAACCAGTGCAGGTCTTTAAAAACAATGTAAAAGCCAACAGTGGCGATTTCTATATCCCCACCTCCGGTGATTCTGCGGGTTATAAAATGTATATATATATATATATATATATATACACAATTATAATTATATATATATCTCACCGTCTAGCTAAAAATGATCATTATTGTCCAAATGTTCTCAGCAGTTAGGCTAATTGTCCCACTCTCAATTTTCAAAATGGTTTCCTGTTTTGGTTCTATTCAGAAAATATGCAAGAATGCACCTGCTTAAAGTACTGTGAATAAGAAAAAAGAAAAAGAAAAAAAAAAAGAAAAAAAATGTGTAAAAACAAGTATAACTTTGATAGTACCAGGGTTGGGAGGCAAAAACTTTCCATTTTCTTTTCCAATTATACTTAGGTCCATGAGGTTTCTCACAAGTGCATTTCATTCCACTGATGCAGATGGAACACTGTACTAAAATATAATATAAAATAGTCAGATTATTAGATTGCATTTAAGGTGTTACTTCTGTAAGAACAGTTTTACTAGTTTTAAGTTAATAATAATAATTTACTTATGAACATAACTTTCTCTTTTTCAAAAGCACCAAAAGGAGTGTTAATAGAACCATTAAGCCACATGAATCATTAAGAGGAACCAGAACCGGAACCAGAATAATTAATTAGACTAGAGCCCGACCGATATGGGTTTTTTGGGGCCGATACCAATACCGATATTTGGGAGTAAAAAAAAAAAAGCAGATATCGGTATATCGGCCGATATTCTTTGTGTATATTATAGACAGTACCAGTCAAAAGTTTGGACACTTTCCCATTTGTGTGTCCAAACATTTGACTGGTACTATATATAGAATACAGTATATACATAAACAGAATATATATACATTAAACACATTTTTTGCAATGATCACTCAAATGTGGTGATCAAACACTTATAATGACGTGACA